AGCCACATTGGGGAAGAGAGGGAGAAAAAAAACATATTTCACACTTAAGAGTCCGTTGTTGCAGGACTAAGTTGTAACCTTTGTGTGAAACATTTCTTACTTTTTTTTCTAAATTGTAAATGAATCTGTGAACCAGCTGCAACTCACTATTCTCTTCCCTGTGGCAGAAAACAAACTTTTTCTGTATGAAGGGGCTTAGGGGATAGATTTAGTGCCTTAATCTTGTTAAAATTCTTTTTTTCTAATTGCAATGAATAAATATGTCAATAAAACAGTCGTTTGTAACTGCAATACTGCAAACTTTGATATTATAATGAGCTATAAAGCTCTGAAGTATCAAGAAAAGAACATTAGGCCAAAATGGAGCTTGGTGGTACCCCAAAAATTATAGAAATTGGAGAAAAGGAATATAGTCCTACACCGGCAGAAAACCTCTTGTCTTGGTTTGCTTATCATACCGATAGGTCCAGAAACATTTCAGTGGAGTGTTTTAATGCCAACACTAGACAAGATGAATCAGGAATACTGTAACCTTCAGTATCTATAAGGCTTTATTGGAGCTGAAAGGACAGACGTCTGAGACTCCAGATTGATGTAAATTATTAATAGCTGTTAGAAAAGGAAAGACAGCTTCAACTGTATGTAATGCACAACCTCAATTGATGCCCTCTAAAGAAAGGAAAACATTAAAGTCAGAATTTATGATAATTCTTTTTATTTTCATGATTATTTTTATTAACAAAAAATAGATCACCGTTGTATTGGCATACCTCTAAAACACAAGGAATAAATGTTAAAGCTAGATGAGGGAGGATATTAGGGGGCACTGGGTTTAAAATTGTGTAGTGGACAACAGCTTCCATCAGCTGTTGGTTGTGGCTGGCTGAGCATGATGAGTACACTCCATTATTGATCTTCCTCCATACAACTGGCAGCAGAAGCATTTCTCTTCCTGCGAATAATCAGTCAGACTGATGGAGAGCGTTCTGTTTTCTACCATAGCTGATTATAACACAGTTAAAAGCTGCTGCTGGCAGAGATAAATTGTCATTTTACTCTTTCTGCGAGTTTGGCAGGTTTTAGCGAACAAAGAGATGGAGAGGAAGGCAGGTAAAGAAAAGGTCTCTCTATGAGGGAGCACAGAGGAAATAGAAAAGACAGAACCGAAAAGTTATTTTAAGCAGATTCTTTCATTCAGCTGTCCACAGAATGAGGATTGCTTACAAAGAGACAGGCTTTGTATGTGCGGGAACAGAGAGTAGAAAATGAGCTACAGGGACAAAAGAAGGCAGGAAGCAGCGTACCTGTGTTCATCTTACTCTCATGTACACATTTCCTCTTTATGCCCAGAGAAGCTTCTGCCTCTGTCCTCATGCTGGTTATCTGATGAAGAGGTCAGCAGGACAAAGCCTTTTCCAAAGTTTATTTATTATTCAGGGAAGCAGGATTCTTCCTGTCTTCAGACAGAAAAGCTTTTCTTAATTTCCAACATCTTCCAACAGAGCAGCATCTATTACACACTGTTGTCTTAGTGTATTAAAACGTTTACATTAATTAGTATGAATAACCCTCAACTAGAGCAGAAACAACTAATCGGATTAATCGTTATTAATCGATTATGGAAATAATCGTCAACTAATTAAGTAATCATTAACTGGAGTATAGAGACTGTAAAACATGCCTTTAATTGACAGAGCAACTCACTTAGAACAGTAATTATTCAAAAATTGTACTATATATATATATATATATATATATATATATATATATATATATATATATATATATATATATATATATATATATATATATATATATATAATATAATATAACTTTTTGATTTAAGATAAATGTTTTCATCTATTATTATGCTCTGTCCAGAAATGCACAAGTGGAAAAATTGTAGTTCACCTGGTTTGATTTTGTAATGAACGAATCTTTGGCTATACGTGAATCTAAAAAATAATCGACAGATTAATCGACTCGCCAGATAATAGTTTGTTGCAGCCCTACCCTCAACGTCTTACTTTTTTATCTAGGGATGTTCCAATGCGATATAAATATCAGTCCTTTTGCCAGAAAACAAATATGGGGTTATATCTCCCTACACCTAAATCTGTTATTGGGGCGCTGATAAAAACACTCTGCTTCTGTTTAAACTTCCTGCAATCTATTGGTTAATATTGCACGGATAAGTTGTTTTAGTACCTATTGTTGCTCACGATCGCTCTCAGTTTTAGTAATTCCACTTGATCAAGGCTTTTCTGACATTTTACAATGCAAAATATGTAATGGAAGTAGGGCTGCAACAACGAATCGATAAAATCGATAAAAATCGACTTTTAAAAGCGTTGGCAACGAATTTCATCATCGATTAGTTGTGTCGCGCGATTATTGCGTCATCCGCTGCGCCGTCATCACTGCCTCTTGACTGAAAGAGGAAGGGAAAAAAATACGGCAGAGCGAGTCAGCGCCGCAGGAGCAGTGTTGCCAACTCCGCGACTTTTCAGACCCCTCCAGCGACTATTTTTCAAAAAAGCGACTAGCGACAAATCTGGCGACTTTTTTCGGTGTCACTGGTGGCTTTTGGAGACTCTTACGTGAAAGCATGTATCATTCCTACTCTGCCGTGGGGCGCCTCCCCCACCCCAACCGCGTTTTCCCGCAGGAGTCCCTCTCAGTCAGAGCCTCAGCGTCCAGACTGCAAATGAAGCGCGCATGCACCGGGATTGACGGCGCAAATTGATCACAATAATTAAAATAGCCTGCGCTTTGTAAAGTGAAAAAAGTGATAACATGCAACTTTTTTCAAAAGAAATTAACATGGCACGGAACCACCATGTTTGTTTGGTTTTAAAGTGGGGAAACGTTACGTTAGTTTCTCAGGTAGCTCATCTGATGCTTTCCTTATCTTGTTAGTAGGTTACAGACAGTGATAAGGTTGGCTACTTATTTTACTTTAAATTTCATTTGAACTAGCGTAAGCAGCGTTTACATTTACTTTATAAATAAATTAACTTGCAAATTATGAGGGCAAGACTTTTAAAGTTTAAATCTGGCAAAGATAAAGTAAAGATGATCCTGCAATTTATAGAAGTAAAGCAGAATAAAATCCAGCAAGATCAGTAATATGTCAATTAATTATATGCCACATTCCCATGTACATATCTGTCTTTGGAGGATGTGTTTTTTAGCACCCCTAGTTCTCTCATTTTTATTCCAAATACAATTTATAATTTGAATCACAGGGCTATTTTTATCTCTATGGTTCAGTATTTTCTCAAGTAGCAACTTTAACTGCTGTACTTTCCTGTCTTAAAAGGCAGAACTCTTCTAGTCTAAAAAAAACTCATTTGTTGAAATGGGGGGGCCTATTGTTTGAACCCCTTAGAGGCTTTTAAAAACAAAAATGTCTTTTTTTGCGCTTTATGAAACAAAGTACCCTATATTTTGTGGATGTACATCTACATTTCTCATGTAAGTTTGCGTAGTTTTAACACAAACATTTATTTTTCATATTGCACCAGTACAGTTAATGAGCAACCTGTACTTGTGTGCTTGTTTGTTCTGTCTATAATGTTTATTTTGGAATAAAGAGGTTAATATAAAAAATATTTTTTGTCCGATTCATCGATTAATCGAAAAAATAATCGTCCGATTCATCGATTTTTAAAATAATCGTTAGTTGCAGCCCTAAATGGAAGCATTCATAATTTGTGCTAATACTGGTGTCGGTTATTTCTCAGAAACAGAAAGTTGTATTGGGACACTCCTGCTTTTATGTATGGATCTATGATTTGATTATTGGGAGCGGAATGAGATTGTGAGGAAGTGTTCAGATATTATACACCCCATAAGGATTTGAGCTACTCACAGGCACTTTTTATTTTCCGCAGTCCCAATATGCATTAAACTGTGATATTAGATGCTCCTGATGACTAAATCTACTACTAATGTTTTATAAATTGAAATTGAACATCTGAGAAGACTTCTTCACCTCACAATCTGGGTCGCCGTTTCCCCCTCTCCTCCAAAATGTCAATATTCCTGGGTCAAAGTTGGTGTGAGGAACCACACATGTCCAGGGAAAATTGTTTTTGATGGATCAAGCATTTGTGTGGAAAGTTAACAGTGCTGGCAGTTAGGAAGGAGCATCAGTGCAGTTAGCATAAGGACCTCCTGTCATTACTAGCAGTCGCTAAGAGCTACACAGTTCAGTTACAATCCTTCGTGAATGTTGGCACAGCTCACTTCATGGAGTTTAATAAAAATACATTATCATACATTTCTTCATCTGTATCCTGTGTGATACATGCTAATGTACAAACTGTCCTTTGTTCATCCATGTGTGTATCCGTCCAGTAATGACTCCAGATTGAGCACAGCAGTCCAGAGCTCATTTCCCCTCTGGATAGTGTTCTATCTGTTGATCCTGCAAAAGTTGAAGGGATAGTAGTTAGGAACAGGTCAAAGGAGCTACAATTTAAGGTATTTGGATCAAGCCGTAGACCCAATGTTGTGCACAAATATACTCCATAAATCTGCTCTGCTATCTTCTGGCTCTGTGGGGACCTAAAACCTGCATATTAAATGGGTTACGGTGCATCATCGCGCAAGCTTTAAAAGTACAAACATGACCTTCTGCTGTATTCTGTGTCTGACTGCGAGTAGAGAGAGACAGAAAGTGATCAGTAAATGAGAAAAAAAGCAGATGTAGTTTGGGAAATATTCAGAGAGAGTTTGTATTACGGCCAGCAAAAGGTGAAATACAGTGATCTCTGCGAGAGCAATGAAGTTCAATGAATGGGAAGTTTCAGTAGATACATGCACCTAGTTTACCTGCTTGCCGTAAGAAGCAAGAATGCACACACAAAAAAAGATCAAAAATCAATATTTATTTTTTTCTTTTTGCTTTTCATGTTTTCTTGTCAAATGCAGCAACGAAGCTGTTTGATAGTAGTACTGCTAATGATCAAAGGTTTACATGTTTTTGTCAACAGCACTAATGTGGTGATGAACTACTCAGAGATAGAGTCCAAGGTTAGAGAAGCAACCAATGATGACCCCTGGGGACCTTCTGGACAGCTAATGGGAGAGATAGCCAAGTAGGTCCAAGGACATTCACACTTGTTCACAGGCTAACTGAATACAGTTTGTTTCACTTATCCGTGCCGTCAGAATGATTCTAATTTTGACTTCATCTGTTTGCAGAGCTACGTTTATGTATGAGCAGTTCCCAGAGGTGATGAACATGCTTTGGACCAGGATGCTGAAGGATAATAAGAAAAACTGGAGACGAGTTTATAAGGTATGATTGCAATACGTTGTATCTTTTCCACAAATTTTGCTCTTGGTTTATTTAAATGAAGATTTGGGGTGTTTTCTTTGTGTTTGAAGTGTAACTTTCTAAAAAACACAATTTGACTTGTTAATATTTGTCTCACCCCTTCAATATATTCTGACTTTTCCATTGATGCTGACTTAAATGTTTCAGTTTATAAAAGCTGTATAAAAATAAGAATACTCGGCAGAAACTGAGCGGATGTTGATCAACTCTATTGGTTTGGCTGGCTGACTTGCTGTGTGCAATGCGTGGTGTTGCCACCTTCTTTCTATGTTGAAACGAGTCTTTTGCACCTTACCATTAGCCTCGTGAGACCATCCTGATCTCACGAGCTTTCAAGGTTTCACTCGCAAATCAGTCTGGAGACTTCGTTAAAGAAAATTTGGAGCCGTTCACCAAACGAACGTCCAATCAGCGTTGGCTTTAAGGCGGGTTGAGGTGTGATGCAACGAGAAGCGCTGATTGCCTTAAAACGATTTAAGTTTATGAACTAAGGCTATTAAATTATAGGAACAATCAAATTCTGTATTTTTAAGTCCATTTGATTTATTTATGGTTGAAGTGATATGAGTGTTAACATCTTAATGTATTGTTTTATTTTGTAAATTGCATTCAAGTGTATTGTACGATTAAACAGTTCTCATTAACAGCAACCTCACTTATGGCGATGCAGCACTAGCCACACCCACTGTCAACTAATCAACCAATTTGCTCTTAGTGTCAAAATCTGCACAAATACTTCTTAATTAAACTTAAGGTTTGCCTTATTAAAATATGCTTAATCAAGACATATATAATCCATACTAATTAAATGTACTTGGAAAAACCACGTTACACTACCAGAACTTTTACGAAATTATGAGTTTTATGTAGTTTAGATAAAGTAGTTTAGTCATTTAGTTTCAGCATTTAAGTTTACAGAACTTGATAACCCAACATTCAAAGACTGGCTTCAGCAGGTCATGGAGGATGACCGAGAGGCTTTTTACATAGTTCGCAGAAAAACGTTACCATGGACTTTATTTACTGAGATCCAATGACATCTCATATTATTGGAGTCACACCTCAGCAGCAAACCAGTATTACCAGCAACGGAAGAAGATAGCAGAACATCCTGACACCAACTTCAGCGCTCAGAGCTGAGGTCCTCTGGTTCCTGAAAGCCAAAATGTCCTGCAGCGCGTCTCGAGCAGCAGGAACAGTGCATCTTGATGCAGCTGAAGCAGCGCCTCATGAGCTACTAAACATCTGAGGCGCGTGACACGCTTCACAAGCAGCAGCTGCTGGAGTTGAAAAAAAAATACTTTTTACCAACTTATCACAACAAATATAGCAAAGCTACTCTCTGCCATTGAAAACAGGAGCAGCAGAAGCATCACATGCATGTGGACACACTTTGCTGGATGCTGTTAGGTGTACCAAAGATGCTCTTGAAGCACCTCTGACCTTTAATGTACACAATTATAAAAAAAATGAAGCAACAGACTAGAGTTGTAACTAATGATTATTTTGAAATTTGATTAATCTGTAGATAATTTTTTTGATTTATAATCAGATAACAAAAGGTTCTTAAAAGAAGGTATTTTACAAAATAAAACAAGGTGAAACGTTTTCATTTCAGGAGTTCTGGATAGAACATATTGCTAGACGAACAAATGTTTTTTTTTTTCAATCATAAATGCAAAATATTTATATATATTTTTTTACAATTTTGGTATAATTACTGCTCTAAGTGGGTTGCTCTGTCAGCTAAAACCATGTTTTACAGTCTCTATAACGTTTAATCAATTACTAAATTAGTTGACGATTATTTCAATAATCGTTTAATCACGATTAATCCGATTAATTATTTTAGCCCTACAGCAGACGCTTTTTTGCTGCTCAAAACGCGTTCGGTATGAACATAGCATCACCTTTATTTCTCAAATGACGACAATGGGGAGCTGTTCCAAACATATTCACAGATTCTGATGCTGCCGAAGTTTTTGCAAGCATGAAGAGGTCTTAATCAAGGCATATGCTTGTTTTTGTTTTGGTAGTAAAAATATTGTAAGTGTAGTAAAATGAAGTAAACCCAACACGGACATTGCTGTATTAACTCTGATTATGTACAAGACATATTCTGACCTGTAACTTAAACTGGGTCTGGCTGTTCTAAGCAGTGCTGTAGCAGTCAGTGGATGGCCCGCTGAACAGTAAATTTGCAGAAATCACATCAAACCATCAGTAAACAGTTGGTTTGATGTTGGTTGGTTGGTTGGTTTTTCTTTTACTCTGTATGTACAGATCGCTGGATGGGTTGTTTCTGTTTGCAGCCACAGCAGGGGCAGCAAACTGTACATCCTGCAGCAGCTGTGGGATCAAAAAAAATAACCAGAAATTTGGGTACTTGGCATGCCTGGTGTGGGTATAATTATGTTGCAGCCTTGGAATGAGACTGTCGCCCGAGCCTCAACCTCATGGATTAGTTACCAACGCTATGATTCATAGCAGAAAGCACAATGGATTCTTGATGCCCCCCTCCAGGAAACGTTAGCCGAACCCCACAGAGACCATCCACTTAATGGCTGTCCTAATGTTTAAGTGTTTTTCTTTTCTTTTTTTTCTTTGCCTCGATTGAAGGAGACATTTACAAAGTGAGCATGCTGAAATATTTTTAGCAAGCAGTTAAAAAATGAAAGACCCCCTGGAACAGAACTCATGAAACAAACTTTAAATGTTGGACTTTAGTCCATTTTGATGTGCAGTGTAAGTTAAATGAACCCAGCTGTTGAGCTGTGTGGTGAAAAGTAGTTACTATGCAATCCAAAAGCTTATTTGATTCCAGATTTCTCTTCTCTCATCACGACAGCAGGGTTCCAGCAGGTCCTTAAAAAGTCTTAAAAGCCATTGAATTCTTCAAAATAAAACTAAGGCCTTAATTGGTATTAAAATGTCTTAAATCAGTCTTTCGTAGGTCTTAATTTTTAAAACATCATAAATAGGATTATTTTTATTACGATTTATTTTTGTAATCTAAATAAAACATTTAAATTGACTTTTTTTAATAAAAAAAATTAATTGGCTCGCTGTTAGGTTTATTCAATGATGATTATAAAATGAATGTGTGTTCATATGAAACATTGTAGAAATGAGATGCTTCACTCTATCTTATGATTCAGTCAAGAGGAGAGCTATGCCTTGTGATTACAGCCAGTAGAGCATCTTGTCTTATGACCTGATCAATTGTCCTTTCAGAACAATACTCTGTTTGTAACCATGCGTTATGTTCTGTTAATAAAAGACGACTGCAAGGAGGGGGGTCGGAGAGAGAGTAGTGAGTTGGGTGCACTCTCTTCCATTCCTGCAGGAGCTGTTGTTTGAAAATCCCTTACTGTGTATTTCAGTTCTTCTTGTACAAACCTCAATTTTTGAACCCAACACTCGCCATTATTGGTTCCGTCCCGATAGCGGAACCAATAAAAGCGTTGTTTCGGCCGGGACATTTGGGAGATGCGCCATTAACTTTTTGTCTAGAAAATATGAGCAAGTGTAAATGTAACAAAAATTGGCTATCCAACCAGGAGTTTTCTCCATGGCTAAAACCAGGGAAGATACATGAGGCACAGTTTATTTTCTGCAAGAAGTCATTCAAGCTCAGAACGATGGGAATTCAGGCAGGGGAGTCACACATGCGAAGCATGAAACACAAAGCATCAAAATCGAGTTACTGAGAAACAGCCGGTATTTCTCAGTTTTGTTCCACCCTTGTCTCTGCAACGCCTCTACTTATCACCAAATCAAACATACTAAGAAAACCATACAAAGAAAAATAGCTGCAAAAAAGACTTAGCACTGGTTATGTTGTGGCTTTAAAACTGCTTGTTTTGTTCCCTGCTAAAATAAAGTTTGTGAATTCAGTTAAATAATTGTTAAAATATATCCGTCATTTGGGTGTTTTTAGCTTTCTTCCTGAATGGGAAGCTTTTCAAAATTTGAAAAATTAGTTTAGTGGTTTATGTTAAAATAAACCTTTGGGTTAAGTTGTCGCAAGCGGGTTTTTCTTGTGTTTCTTGTGAATTTGGTCTTAAATTTTTATTTCAAGTGGCATTTAGAAGTCTTAAAAAGTCTTGAATTTAACTTGCCTTATGCTGTAGGAACCCTGGACAGGCCCCCAGGCTTGGCACTTTAACCCCAAGTTGGCTACCAATCTGTGTGTCTGTTGGTGCCTTGGGTGAATGTAGTATAAAGCATTTGTTTCTCTCTCTCCCATCTTTCCAATATCCAGGCATTACTCCTGCTCGCCTATCTGATCCGGAACGGTTCTGAGAGAGTCGTCACCAGTGCCAGAGAGCACATCTATGACCTGCGATCTCTAGAAAATTATCATTTTATTGGTGAGTCCCCCAAAACAAAATCGCTCACTGTTTGGAGATTTTGAGTTTCTTTTTTGCTTACCTTGTGTTGAGAATTTATCGACCTATTTAGCCTAAAAAAATAAATAAAAACAGGAGATTAAAAGAACTAGAAATGCCTTTTTAGGGGTTTTCTTTCTGTGACTGCGTCCATATGATGCTTCTACAGATGAGAATGGGAAGGATCAGGGCATAAATGTACGTCAGAAGGTGAAGGAGATGGTGGAGTTCGTCCAGGATGATGACAGACTCCGAGAAGAGAGAAAGAAAGCAAAGAAGAACAAGGATAAATACATTGGAGTCTCCTCTGACAGCATGGGTGGAGGAGGGGGCAGCAGCTTTAAGAACTGTACGTATATCAGATTTTATATGACAGCTTGCCTTTATTTATACCATAATATGTCCCTCCTGCAGAACATAAGAAAAATATTTTATATAGCAGCTGTAAAAACACGTCTATTTGTGGATGAACATTTAATCTTAGCAGTGAATAAATGGTTTAGTTTATAGATTAGGTCGGAAACGGCTAAGAATGGAAATATGGAATCTAAGAAAAACACAAGTGATTTTTTTGTTTGTTTGATGTTTTCAAGATATTTAGAAATAGCTATTACATTTTTTTTTCATTCTGTGGCTTGGGAGAAGAACTTTTGGTAAAAAGTTTTATCACATTCTGTGGCTCAGACGTGTTTTATACTGTATCACTACAAAACCTACATTCTATAAATATGTGCCGTGAAAATAAGGGCTTACTCTTGTATGGTCAGTGGAAACTAAATCTCTCTGTTTTTGACTCTTCTTTTTTTTCTACTAGCTAATGAATTGGATCGCAGTAAGTGGGATGAGGACTGGGACAAGAGCAGAGGAGCTTTCCCTTTCAGCGAGAAGCTCGGAGAGATCAGCGATAAGATAGGCAGCACCATTGACGACACACTCAACAAGTTCAGGAAGAAGGAGCGAGATGACTCGCCTGACAGGATCAGGTAAACAGAAAATCTAGGAATCATATTTAGGCTATTCCAGATGAGAGGTTCCTGTGGCAAATACAATCTCCTGACATATGCCTCATAACAGGCATCAATATTCAGCCGCATTTTAATGTTTTCTATCATAGTGCAGCAGTATCCATTACATAGAGCACAAAGATCCCAAACCCTCAGATGTATGCCAAGGCACAGCAAATCAACCTTAGCATAATCCCTTAACTGGTTTCCATAGTGACAATGAGGAGGACAGAGGCTCAAGAAACGGGAGGCAGGAAACGATCGAATTCAAAGACGAGGAGGAAACTGTCACGACGAAGAGCATCCAGATCACACAGGCAACAGAGACCACAACCACCACGACACGGAAACGCAGCGGAGCAGCGAGCAGTAAGACATTGGACCTAGGTGCTGCAGCACACTATACAGGAGACAAGAGCCCAGAGGAACAGGTGAGCCCAGAAAATACAGCTAAAGTGACAGTCATCCTGATTTATGGAGGTTTAGGCCCCGTCCACACGAAGTCAAAACGAACACGAAACGCTGATATTTTCCAAAACGTTTGCCGTAAAGACGGAGACGTAAAATAAATGTGAGCGTCCACACGAATGCATGAAAACGCTGCAAAATGTATGCCAGGCCTGTAAGTGGCGCTGTGGTGCCAAAGCAAAAATAAGCGACGAAATGTTGGGCATGCGCACTAATATTTATACATGGTTGCCCTGCGGGTCCATTTTCGTGGTTAAGTCAAATTCAGGTGCTGAACTATGTCGTCGATATTGCTCCGTTCTTCCTGGAGATATTCCAGAAGAAGAAGATTCTGTTGTAAGCCCGACAACAGGGTGAGTAGCATTAGCAGCAACGGCGCCATTGTTGTTGTGATACTGGTCGCGCATGCGTGTTTAGAGGCGACGCTATGACACATGCGTGTAAAAAAAAATATGCGGTTAGAGCGTAAAGATGGAAACGCGAAAACGGCGTTTCGAAATCTTCCCACTCTGAAGGCTGAATAAAAAAAAGATTGTTTACAGACCCCCGAAACGCCGGCTTCGTGTGGATGAGAGGCTGGTTTGGGGAAAAATTTGTGCGTTTAGGCCAGGGTTCGTCTTCGTGTGGACGGGGCCTTAATCGCTGTGTCCTTCTCCTCAGACTTCAGCTAAACAGTCTTCCAGCTGTGGACTGGCTGACCTGCTGGTGATTGACACAAACAACGAGAGCATAGCGACGGGTAACCACCAACAGATTTTTATCATCTTTATGTTTAAACACACTTCTACATCCTCTTGTAAGATTGTTTTCATTCCTCCAGGAGGGACTTCAGACCTCATAGGTGGCTTTGCTGACTTTTCCTCACCTGCAGCCTCCGCCAGCCTCCCCACCTCCACTGGTAAGGCTCCTCACTGTCAGCTTCTTTAAAGTGATCAGAAAACAAGCAGCTCTACTGTAGGCAGGACCCATCACTGCCCCATGTAGCGCTGGTCCTGACCCCTGTTACGGTCCCTGTACTTAACCCTTTATCATCCAAGTTACCAGTTTTGGTTCCTTGGATATAAATACCACTTTGCAAACGAATCTGAGGTAAAATGCGATCTGAAGGGTCCGCAAGATATATCTCTATTTCTAAGCTGAGTTAGGCAGGGATACACTGTACGATTTTTCGCCCTTTTTGGCCCGATTCTCCTGCGAGAGTTTTTTTTGATTGGGCCAAGTTGAATTCAATTCAATTCAGTTTATTTATATAGTGCCAATTCACAACACATGTCACCTAAAGGCACTTTACAGTTTACCAGATCATACAGTCAAATTGATTCAAAGTCTTTTTAAGCCTTAATAAAATATAAAATTTTAAGCCTTATTGTGCGTCCTGCGTCGTGTAATATACAGGGGGTAACAAGGGGCGATCAGCCTCTCAAGACCACCTCCTGTTCGGAATAGTAAGGTCGGGAGAAAATCAAACATCTTTGAAATTCAGTCGGCCCTGGTGAGGTGTTGGTGAGCAAATCCCACTATTGAGGCAGAGCTACGAGCCCATTTTCCAGAACCTTACAGACTGCGCATGTGCAAACAAGGGAGTACTTCATCTTCTTCTAGATTGACGAGTCCGACCAGTGCCATCTTTCGGTGCCGAGTCCAACGTGTGGATTTTGCACGTGCAGTGTGAGCATTTAGATCGCGTCGGACCATACAGTGTAAGAACAAACATCGTAAGCTGTGAGCTTTTAAACCCTGCGATCTCATCGCACAGTTTGAGCTGTAGCTGAGTACAACAATTGAAAGAAATCGTAGTGTATGCCTGGCCTTAACCGCTTCATAGAATGCCACCAGTGATCTAATGTTACCTACTGTGTGTGACATGGTACCTACTGTACATTTAGTAAACAAAAAAGGTCATGAGTTGAGTTCAAAACGAATCAAACTTATTAAAAATGTAAAAAAGTCAATTAAAAAAGTTAATAAGCCAAGTTAAAAAGTAAAAAAAAAAAAACTTCCTGTATCAGCATTAATGTTCTGATGGTTATGTAGGAACAACAAATGTATTTTTCTTTCTGTTAGTGTTTTTCACAAATTTCTCATAGAAGCACTTTGGATTTTTTTATTTTATTTTTTTAACCATATTAGGCCAAGTTACTTGTTTTGGTTATTTAATCGATATCTATTTTTGCCATTATTTCTATTTATGTTAAAAAAAGGTCTTATTCTGTCCACCAGTACCACTCTAGACATAAAATTTTGAATTTTAAAGTATTTTTCTAAATGCCCTATAAAGGGTTAAATCATATACCGGTATGTAACATTTGTTATAATTTTGTCATCTTTATCATGTAACTGGTGGAAGAAAGCAAAATCAGCTCTATGAATTGACCCGAAAACATCAGCAGAACATATCAGGGACCTCTTAGAATGACGTCTTTCCTTTCTTCCATCCTTCCTTTCAAACTTACTGTCTGTAATCTAACGCCTGATAGATTTGTAGATATCTGCCATTTGTATTTTCAAATCTACATCAAGAATCTAAAATAAAAGAAACAAATCAGAAATAGAAATTGTTTAGGAACCCTGCTGAATTATGAGGGGGACAAATACAATGTCAAAAATTTTTTTGTTTTCAACCCAAACACAAGCTCTGAAACAATAGTCCAGTGGTGCTGACGATACTGATCATGTCCAGGTATTGTACCTTCAAGAGGTTACATTTCAGCTGACCACCTGATTTTTTTCTTGTTGACCAGCTGCTGCCTCATCCAATGGAAACGGAGAGTTTGGAGACTGGAGCTCCTTTTCAGGAAATCCTCCAGTTTCATCTAGCTCTGCTCCTTCCCAGCCAGTCACCGACCTGTTTGGCAGCGGACCGTCAGTCCAAACAACACCTTCAAATCCCTCCTCTGTGCCACCGTCTGCTGAGCTCTTTGACCTGATGAGCGGACCAACCAATCCACACACCACACTCAGTGCTTCTCAGAGCATGACCTTCTCTCTAGGAGGGGTGACGGCGGGCGCATCGTTCCCTGTGCCAACGATGCCCCACTCCCGCTCTCAACAGGTATCCAGACTTCTGTATAAATCCTTATTAACTATCTAAATAGTCTATAGTTGTCTGTAAGGATCTAGTTTTAGGATTAGGTTGTAGATTTTTTTAGGAAGTGTTCACTTTAAATATACACATGAAGTGAAATTTTACTGCAGTATAATTGGAACACGAATGCATCGTAGAGAGACACTGGTCATGTGTTTCAGAATTTGGTGGGCATGGTGTCCCAGCAGCCATTGGGATCGCAGCAGAAGACTGGTGTTGGAAGTCAGGGATCGTTAGGGTCAACTTGGTCCGACCCATCTGTCAACATCAGCCTGGACTTCCTCTCTGCAGGCCTCAACCCCACAAAATCCCCCCCCACCCTGAACAATATCATCCAGCAACAAGGTAAAGGCTTTTTACACCTCAGTTTTTTCTTTAAATGCTTCCATTTGCTAACTTAGTCAATGGGAACTCCTGAAACCTCTCAGTGCTTTGCAAAAGTATTTACACACCTTTGAACCACCTCACATTTTGTTACATAAATAACGTCCAAGATTAGGGGTTTTATTCTTATTTTAACCCTGCATGATGGATCAATAGAATATACAAATTAAATTAAATTCACTTTATTTCTATAGCGCCACTTCTCAAGGCACTTACAGAGACAATTCACCAGATCATACGGTCAAATTGATTCAAAGTTTTCTATCTCAGGAAAAGCAGTTGATTGCATTGACTCGAAGGCGATCCCTCACAATAAGCGTGCATGTAGTAACAGTGGAGAGGAAAAACTCCCTTTTAACATGAAGAAACCTCCAGCAGAACCAGGCTCGGGTGACCGGCCATCTGCCGAGGCTGACTGGGATTCAAGGAGACAGAAGCTGAGATACTAAAAGCAGCCCCAACATCTATAAACAAAAGTGTTGATGGCAGCAGCACAGCTGATATTTCTCTCCAGGATGGAGTCACAGCCAAACAGGAACAGACGAAGCAAAGCCACTATGAGAAAAAGCAGCAACAGCAGAACGTTAGAGATTAAACTAACAGATTCTGCAGAGTGGGAGAATAGAGATAGAATGATGAAATGGGGGGTCCCTATGTCCTCCAGAAGTCTAAGCCTATAGCAGCGTAACTAAAGAGATAGCTCAGGACGGCACTAGCTTCTCAAAACGTTGTATGAATAAAAACCTGAAAAGTGTGGGATGCACTGTCTACCCTTAAGTCAGTACATTGTTGAGCTGAATATTTAAGGGTATCTATCTCCAATGTTTTCGCATCTACATTGTTTATATAGTAGCCCAACCACAGTCAGCTTGGACAGAGGGGATCCCTGAACATTACATTTCAAGCTTTGCCAGTTTCTTTTATTGATTTAGCTCAGAGCTTTGACAAGGGAATTCATTTTAATATGTGTATATAAGGATCTGAAACAATGAATTGGATTAATTGTGATTCATCAATTATTGAAATGACGTCAACTAATTTAGTGATTGATTAATCATTACCTGGAGTATAGAGACTGTAAAACATGCCTTAAGCGGACAGAGCGACCCACTTAGAGCAATAATTATATCAAAACTGTAAAAGAACATATAAACATATTGCATTTAAGATTAAAAAAAAACAAAAAACATTTTCGTCTGTCAGAATACTCTATCCAGAACTCAAGTGGAAAAGTTTTAGATTCACCTGGTTTTATTTAGCAAAAAAATCTTTTTAAGGAACCTTTGGCTATCTGATTATTAATCGAATAATTGAAAAAAATAATCAACAGATTAATTGATTTGCAAAATAATGGTTAGTTGCAGCACTGGTGTATATGTTTTGATCTGAAAGTGCACTCAAGCCTTGGCTGTATGTTTAGAGTTAAATCCACTATAATTCATGCAGTCCTCAAATGATGGATAATAACAGATTCTCCTACCTGAGCTGTGGATCTCTTCGCTCCTTCTTTGGTTTGCCTGATTAGGATGACAGGCAATGTTTTGGTAGATTTGCAGTTGTTCCATAATTAGTTTGCTTATAATGGTTGAACTGTGCTCTGTTCAAACCTACAACAACCTTTCAGAACTGCTGCATCTTCACTGAAAACAGTCTCTCTAGAGATTTGTGTTGGTCTGTCTTATAAGATTCATAGATTTTTTTTTCGGGTGTTAATTGTTAAAAGGGTCCAGGTGTTATACTACTTTTAAAGCACTGACACATTTTAAAACCTCACAACCACAGACAAATCCTTTCATATCTCTGCTTGTGTGTTTGCACAGGAGTGCCACCGGTCAACCTGTTGGCTCAGAATTTTGGAGGACTAAACCTCAGCTCAGCGCCTCAAGTGACTCCCATCAGACCAGCCAACCCCATGATGGCCGGGGGCGCCATGACAATGGGGATGCCTGCTACTGTGGGTGTGGGCATGCCGCCTTCGATGGCCACAGGTTTACAGGGCGGACTTCCTGTGAACCAAGGGATGATGGGAATGAACATGAGCATGAATATGGGCATGGCCGCCCCTGTGATGTTGGGGGGGATGGGGGTCCCAGGAGTAGGAATGGGTCTGAGTCACTCCATCAGCCCAGCCGTGATCCCACCAAAACAAGATGCCTTCGCTAACTTTGGCAGCTTTGGGAAATGAAGGTTTACAGTTGTGTGTGTGTGTATGTGTGCGTGAAACTGTGAGCGTATGAACTACTGAAGGACATGAAGATAACCTTGCATGTTTGACTGTTGGTGAGCTGGTTCACCGGCCTGGTCTGATGGCGCGATCCGGGTGAAAGGGGGGAACCCACCGATTCTCCTCACAGGTGGTATGAAGGTGTTGGTACATAATCGGTCAACTCTACTTCCCTTTACTGGAAAAATCATCGTCTTCGCATGAGTTTTTATAAAACCGTATATTTCCTCTATTCCTTTTTTCCCCACACACAATTCACTTCAACTAAAATGGTACTGAGGCCTTAATTTTGCATTGTAGCTGAAAAATTACGTTTTTGTTTTTTTTTTATCATGAAGTTTAACCCAAAGTAACTGCTAAGCCATTTCCAAACATGAAACATGTCGAACAAAGCAATCCATTTCTATTTGTTTGAATTCAGATGCTGGTATGTTTCAAAGCAAACCGTTTCATTCGAACATGTCTGTCTGTGCTTAGATTTGCCATCTCCTATATGTTGGTCTGGTTGTTAGTGGCTCTATTTTAAAACATGGCCGCATTCCCTCTCCTCCTCCTTTGATTTTGTTCCTGCAAGGTTTAAAAATACTCTGATTTAAGCTGCGCTGTGTACATTTAATTTTCTCTGTATTTTTATTAATTATGAACATAACAAGGCAGTCAATCATACGATCTTATTTACTCAATTATATATTATTATCTGGTCATGGTCTATTTTACGTTAAAATATGACTTAAGGCTTTTGATTCATTTTAATTTTATGAACTGATTTAGTAGTACTAGTCTAGAAAATAACATTAAATCCCTCGTCTTTTACCACACATCCAGCTGTTAGTAAGGTGAATTTTTGATGGTATGGCATGGTGCTGCCCACCAGGGGACGATTTGTACCCAACAGGATGACGACTCAACAAAAACAGCAATGAAGAGAAGCGGTGAAGCGGCGAAATCATCAGCATTGCCGCTGCCCTGTGGTCTCTAGGCCAGTTTGAATCTTCCAATTTTTACCCTCAATTTTAACTTTTTTACACACACACATTGCCATTTCATACCTGAAAGGAAACCATTTTTTTCGCTCATGTGCTTTAATCATAGCATATGAGTTTATTTTTCATTGCAGATAAGATTTTCTATCAATAATAATAATTCTTTAAAAAAATGAATACTATACAACATTTTATGCCAACTTATTTCTGTAGACTTTGAATCTTCCTTATGTTATTACTATGTATTTTGGTTCTAAACAATATGGCAGTATGAATCAGTACAACATGTGACTGATCTTAAAAAAAAATAAACAACTGTTAATGGATCTTGATGTTAGATGTTATTTTTTACACATAAAACCAGATTTACTATACAATTTGAGAAGAGTGACCTAAATGTGTCACTTCTGGTTCAAATGTCTCCCTGGTGGGTACATGTCAACATGTGGTAAATAAAAACTCCAAGACCCAGTTTCAGAAGGGAGGAGAAGTGGGAACGCAAAACAAATTCTGGGATAAATCCCTACAAATTCTAGATTTTAGCTTTCAGAAAGCCAGATAACTGTTGTTCTGAAACATGTTTATACTGCAGGTTATTCCATGAAACAACTCTTTTCAGCAGCAGGATTCGTTGATTCGTCGTTTTATTCTGAGTCTGTCACAGATTTCAGCTGAAACCTGACACAAGGAGTGTACGGAACGCCGTGTTCTATACCGGAGGAGCCTGTTGATGCTGGAATCCAAATACTCATTACGCTCCATGTGATTAGTTGTATTTTAATGGATTATAAATTTTTTTTAGTCTCACCACTTTAGCCAGAGTCGATAATTTATGTCAATAAAATTTCAGCCACAGATGGCTCATATGAAGCAGTTCACAGTGAGCTCTGGGGACATACACATCATTTTCATCTGATCTTTTTTATATTAAGTTATTAACCAAGGTTTGAGGTCTTACGTTTAATTTATTCCATTAGTAGAAAGAAAGCCAATGAATGCTGTTTAAGTTAGTGGGTAAAGGTTAAATATATTAGCCAAGCTTACCAGATTTAACTGGATATTTTCTGTCCTTTTTGCACCTGCTGGGTTACACCTCGACGTGTTACTTATGTTAAATATGTGTAGTGGGGGTATTTTAATTCTCTATAAAAACCCCACTGACTGGTTATGATCCTCTTCATATGCTGTTATTAATATGACATGTTCCACTTTCTGAAACGGTGCCCAAATGAAATCCTATAGCCCCAATATTGGGTTCAAAATTACAGATACAAAATGATGAACGAACGATCTGCAGCATGCCTGCCCAGTCTGCGGGCACAATGGATTTAAATAGTCTTAGAGTTTATTTATAATTTGCTCTTTTTATATTAACTAAGATGCAGCAGTAATCCTGCCTTTTGATTAACAAAACAGCAGAACATTAGAACTGAATAAAATGTATGGTTGCCCTGCCATGGAAGATTTACACTCCAGATTAAAGGACATTTATATTGTTCCTGTCTGATAGGGGTTTAGCAACACATAGAATCTATAAACTTGTTCTCCAGCAATGGGCAGAGTAAATTAAATAAAAGTAATCCATGCAGTTCTGCTTGAACCACATAAGGACAGTTAAGATATTATTGTATATCTTGACCCTGATGAGCCAATTTCTTTCTATTTTTTTTTTTACTTTATATATATATATATAATATACATTTCCCTGTGACTTTTTCATTGCAATATTTGCAGACAGTGTGTTTGCTTTTCTGACTTAATTTGCAGCATTACCATCTGATTAAATGCCTGTTCAGTATTTTTTGTCTTTATGCAACTCATTGTAGACTCATCAGTATTACTTTATGAACCCCCTATAACGTTTCTAACTTTTCTGTTATGCATTGAGGTACAGAAGCATTTTGCTACCAGCCTTGGTGGAAAAAAAGAGTCACCTGAAAAACATGAGCTGCAACATTACTCATGTGTTTACAGTGGATTCTGGGAATACCTCTATAATGTACCTCGTTTAGAAGTTTTATTTGCCAGAAAACATTTTTTCACCTGCACCTCACTATCCATCAGTAGAGAGGATCATCTGTGATAGATTAAACTCTGAAGATCAATCCAAAATGTTCTGGGTGACCTTTTTTTAAGAAATGGATGACTGGGTGTTACGACTTTATGTTTGGTTATAAGTTTCCTCTGTTTGATGTACAAACACAGGTAAGCAGAGCCTCCTGTCATTCTCAGAGGCACTGCCCTCCGAATGACCAAATCTTTATTTTGTTACTCTCAGAATTATAACTCCATAGGTTTTAGCTTACTATTTTATTAGTTGTAAGGTTATGTTCATATGGGAAAATGCAGTTAAAGTTATTTAGATTACTTGAATCATGTTTTTGTTTTTTTTTCAACACAGATCTTTTGATTTGATTACTGTTTGTTTTCTGTATTTCATTCAACATTAAATTATAACATTAAATAATTGGTTTCCTATTTTTTTGGGATATGAATTCATGATAACAATATTTGAAGAAACCCAACATCAGCCTTCTGTTTTATAACATTTTTGTATGCTTAATATTAGCAAAGCTAAAGCGTAGCTAATTGTAACAAAAACTGAAGAGCTACAACAAAATGAACTTTATTGCCATGAATGAGATTAAGAAACTTCTAGTTTATTCCCACTGAACACCATTGAATATTGGTGAGAACTGTTGTGATACCGTCATATCACAATGGTTTCACATAATTATATCATTACTCAGCCTTTTTGAGGAGGTTTGTTCTGTTTAAGCTTTAAATGTTCAGTTTGATGTGCCCTTTACTGCTGAAGTGATGTTTTAAAGAGAGGTTCTAAAAGCTGTCTGAGGACTTTGAAAAGAAGATTATCTAATATATTTGGTACGAAATGTAAAGAACTCTAAGGATATTGGAAATGAGCCATTTCATAGTATAGAAAATGATCTCCAGGCGGAGAAAAAACAGCAGTAAACAAGCTCATATTTGGCTCCCCAAAAGCAGGCTGCAAGGCACCAAAAGATGTTATCACTAAATATCGAATTTAACCTCCATTGCAAAAAATGCTCTTCATGAAACCAATACATACCAGAGTAATGTACAGAGAGAACATAAAGACCAGAACTTCTGGAATAATCTTCGAACGGAAGAGGCTGCTCAGTAGGTACCACTGCTGCCTTGCAGCAAGAAGGTTGTGGGTTCGATGCCCAGGGTCTTTCTGCACAGAGTTTGTATGTTCTTCCTGAGCATGCGTGGGTTCTCTCAGGGTACTCCGGCTTCCTCCCACAGTCCAAAAATATGACTGAGTTAATTGGCTTCTCTAAACTCTCCTTAGGTGTGCTGCGTGAATGGTTGTCTCTATGACCCTGCTTGGGATAAAGCGTGACAGAAGATGGATGAAAAGAAGGGTCTTCATTTATTTATTTGACACCAGAACAAATGGCATTATACAAATATTACCCCCACTGTGGAACAATAGTGTAATTCTACTAAATATCATTCAATAAAAATCTCTTCATAACTACTACTTTTAATCATACAGCTGGAAAGGTCATGGCTTCTAGGTAACTCGCTATAAAAACGTCTGCCTTCAGCCAAGTCTTTCTACCTACAGTTCAAAATAGTGACACTAGAGGCCGCTGTTCCTTCCATACATCACAGACAGCAAAAACCTATCTATATCTACTGCCACAAATGTGACACTATGGTGACTTAATGTAAAATAATAATAATAAATTTCAGTTGAATATGGTGCAAACAAGTGACAGACCATCCCTCCAGTATGCCCTTCTGAAGACTCTGAAAGACGAGGAGAAGATGGACCAATCACCAGTTTTACCATTCCTCCATCAGAAAAAGGTTGCTTACACTGGAAAATAATGCACATTTTAATTCACAAAAAATATATAATAATAATAACTGGGGTTTAAACTGTTAATGACTTTATAACATTAGTTGCTTTGTAATAAATTCAATATTGTGTGTTAGAGCATTTGAAAGTAGAAATAACAGTGTTACTATGACTGGATGGAAATAAACCAGAAGTCTTCCTCAGATTTCACCTATACTGGGTTGGTCAAAGGCAATGGGCGGATCAAAAGGCCAATGATGCTATTTAGTGCGGCTCGCATCCACAGAGCGGCTGTAAAGAAAGCTTTCCCAGAATGAACCAGCCACAGGGTCAGTGTTCGACTTGGATATGAGTGGCTTGAACTCAGTGAGGAACAGAAGAAACCCTATTACGAAGTGGCTAACAAGCTGAAAATGGCACACAATGAGCACTTCCCTGGTAGAAACCAAATAATATTTGTCTAACAGTGAATTTAAACAGCTGATATTAAATGTTTCAGGTACACTGCAAAAAACTGAAATCTAAATAAGTCATTTTTGCTCAAATTAAGTGCATTTTTTCTTGAATTGAGGAGATAAGTGAGACACTTTGCCAATGGAACAAGACAATTTACATTTAAAATAAGAAAAAAACAACTGCTTTGTCTTATTTCAAGTGTATATTATCTAATTATCTTGTTTTAGGAGTAAAAATAGTCATTCCATTGGCAGATCATCTTATTTACCTGCTCAAATTAAGGGTAAGTACACTTAATTTAAGTTATTTTTTACTTATTTCTTTATGTTTTTTGCAGTGTAGAGTTACTGCATTTTCTGACCAGTTACTTTATGGATCACAGTAAATTATTTATTTTTCTCTCACTTCCATGCCAGATTATGAGTATCACCCCAAGAGGAGGGAATACAGTGGAGGGGCTTTAGAGGGGAGACATGGCCAAACACCAGGACCACTGGAGTCAAATATTATCTTTGCTTCCTCACAC